GGAACATATGACAAGAAGCGTTATAAAGTTGGGACACCTCCTCTTGGTGTAGCAGTTCATGATGAACTCGATCGCACCCTTTTCTATCACATTTTACAAGAGACCTGCATGTATCAACTCGATGTCCGAATCTAAGACTTCTGAATCACAACTTCAGTTGAGATACCAGCCTCCATCGATCTTGTACACTTAACTTACGGAAGTCTTGACAAGCGTCCATATGGTGACTTAGTCCACATTTGATATACGAATCATCTTTGGGTGACAATGCAAACGTTTTCTTGGTAACAGCGCCCATGGTATTATTTTCGGCTGCCGATCGTCGATCATGTAACAAATAACTGTACCGATTTCTTCGTAACCGAGCCTTCGCAGAAAAAAAGTCGCATAAATCGCGGAAAGAAGGTTCACGATTCATTTGGTAAATCTCTTCTGCCCGCTTTACCCAATCCGTAGTCATCAATCGAAGGAGTTTAGATAATATCGTCTCAATGGTACTCACTGAATTAAGATCGGCAACATAACCCAACTGCTCCAATGCATCTGCACAGTTGATAGGCTGGTCTGAGTAGGCAGATAACTCTTCTGCATGTGGTCCTACTAGGCCATCTCGCGTGACCTCATCAAGAAACTCTCTTACAAGCACGTGTCTCTGACCAAAACGTTCCTTTCTAGCCTGTTGGTACCCTTCCTCTGGCGGATACATTAGACAACATCGAATGGCCTCTTTAGCTTTCCTTTGACAGTAATGAAAAAGATGCATAAGCTGCTGTTCTTCGTCAGCCACTCGGTTTGCAATACGATCCTCAAATTTCCTAAAGAATGGAATATATTGCACGGGTGATCCGTCAAAATGAGTGATTTCACATTGCGGTAGATCTAACTTACTCCATAAGAGGTCGAGCTTATCCTTGTCCTCAGTTGTGACGTTCTTGACCCCAGAAGACTTCAGACCTGTAGAACCATTATACTTTTCCCTATCAGAACAACCGGGATCAATGACAGGGATCTCAGGAGAACTACCTCCTATATGAAAAGGTAATGATAGGGTATCTACGTATTCAATCTTCGCTCCATGACGTAGTAACTCAGCTGCTCTACGTTAAGCCTCCGCTGCCCTACGCATAGCGCTAGCTGCCTCAACCTCGAGTTCTGCACTCTCTAACTCACAATTAAGCTCAACATTAACGTCAACGTCATCACAATCATGGCAGTTATCGGACTTACCAAGGGGAGGTGCACCGGCAGCATCCGTCTGAGATTCATACTCGGAATTCTCCTGACTAGAGGATTCCATGGGATGATGGGAAAGACAAAGCACACAACAAAGAATAGTTCGCAAAGAGAAAACAATTCCTCACAGGAAAGAGGATGTCAAAGCTTGAACGGATGTTCACGATTGCAAACTGCAATAGTCAATAAAACGCAGTTAACACAACACGTTCAATGTCACAATCCCAGTCACAGAAAATAACAATCAGATATTCATCCGTTCGCATTTTGAGCAATCCAAATACTGTTACGCGTGCTTCAGTTCGTAATTCCAATACGCGTACGAGTAAACCCAATTTCGTGACCTGATACGAACGAGTTTGATCAACAAGATAACGACCGATCCGGAACAGAAAGAAACGATCTTTAACTGTCTCAACGAACGATCCCGATCGAATGAACCCAATACAAACGAGAAGTGAGCACACAAATTGAACGAATAGACTACGATAATTTATACGGTATCTATAAAGGTCATAACCAAATAATACAAAAAATGTAAAACATACTTGGATGTACGCTCACCCAAGCAGAATGCAGGAATCAACAGAAACAGGGAGAATGCTCAACCAAGCTGACAAAGCAATATGTCCGGTCCAACGTTAATAAATGTGAAATTGATACATTTAAACAAACATGAAGTTACAGACGATAAAGAGCAGAAATTGTAAGAATTAAGCAGTAAAATGGAAGAAAGAGAGAAATCCTTTCAATTCATCAACGGTGCATTGCCGCCGTTGCAAGGACTAAAGGTAGAGACTCCTTCCAGTCTGGGTTCGCCTGTGCTGCTAGAGCACCTTTCCGTTTTTGATGAAAACGTTCGACCATCCAGTTGGCTGCCGGGTGGTAAGCAATGGTCTGGACGATGTGAACGTCTGGATGCTTAAGTATTTATGCAAAACCACTCTCGAATTGAGAATCTCGATCGGTTGTAACTACTGCAGGACAACCGAAGCTAGTTATCCAACCCTTCACGAAGGCTTGTGCCGCTGCTTCGCTGGATGCGAAATACAAAGGAACAGCAACCGGTCATCGGGTGGAACGATCTATACAGGTGGGTATATAAATACGCCCTTTCAATGGTGGCAGGGGTCCCACTAAATCTAGGTGGACGTGCTGGAAACGTTCTCCGACTCCGGAAAACGAACCTAATGCGCTCTTTGTGTGACGAATTTTTTGTTTCGTTGGCAGAACAAGCATTGGCGTGCCCATTGGCGAATGTCTATTTTGATGTCGTGCCACACGAAACGATCAGTGACGAGTTTCACTGAGGCACGGATGCCTGGATGTGACAAATTATGCAATGCCTCAAAAACCTTTTTGCGTAAGGTCGATGGGACTACTGGCCTGTGGTGACCTAGGGAGACGTCGCAATGGAATTTGTTGCATGAAGACGGAAGTGGTAGATGTTCGATGCGGAGCGTGGATTGCTCGCGCTGTCGCTCGATGTTGTCGCCGATTTGCGCTGTGGCTATGTCATGTAAGTCTATGTCTTCTGGGTAAGAAATTCCCAAGTGATGGATGTGTTAGAGAGCATCCGCGCCTTGGTTGTGAACACCAGAGATCTGTCGTACATCGCACATATATCGTGTGATATAATCAAGGTGTATTGACTCTCGTGGAGAGTGTTTGTCGGTGGTAAACCTAATGGTGTGATTGATAGGACGATGGTCGGTGAAAACCGTGAAGTCGCGCCCTTCGA